TAATAAATTGGTGCTTCCAATGACTGTAGCCAATCATCTTTCCCAAAGATAACTGCGACAGTAACTCTTCCCCACGCGCTCTTCTGCAGTGTGACCTGGCCACTCCACCGTGAAGAAGTGGAGCCTATTTCTCCCCTCCCTCGAATCTGGGAAGGCTCTAGGACTGCTGAGGCAGAAATGACACTGGGCCAGTTTCAGGCATAGCCCTTCACTAATCAGCAGGTCTGCTTCCTGCCTCTTGTAACACTTGCTCTGGAGTAAACCAGTCCAACTATCCCAGAACCGCCATGCTGTAAGGAAGCCCAAGCTAGCCACGTAAAGAGACAGACATGCCCAATAAGCCTCCAGAAGCTCCAGCCAGCCCAGTGCAGGCACCAGATACGTGAATGAAGAAGTCGTGACCGAAGTCCCAGCCACCATACCACTGTGAAAACCACCTGGCAGATTCTAGATAACTCACAGAACTGAGAGACTGGATAAAATATTTTAGGCCACTGAGTTTTAGGCCAGTTGGTTATGCAGCAATAGGTAACTGGCCCATGCCAATGGGTGTCTGAGACGCAGATGCCTTGTGCTACGCAATGAGTGCTGGCCTGGAACTTAATCATTGGAGAACAGAAGGGCTGTGTATCACAGGGAGACAGCTCAGCGGGCAGGAGTGCATGGAGGGAGGGACACAGGGAAGAGGTAACTATGGGGAGGAAGTGGGAGGGGAGCTGTTGCATTGGGGTGAATTATAGTCAATGTCATGAAACAAAGTGTATGTAAACTGCTGTATGGAAAGTGAATTTGCTCTATACACTTTCATCCAAATCACAATTAAATAAATAAATAAAATGGAGCTTAAGCATGGAAAACTGCCAACCTCTTTGGAGGATCTGGTAGCTCAGCCAGGTTAGCGGCTATGTTAATGAGGATGGAAACCCCATTGCCATCAATTCTGACTTAGATTTCATTCTCTAGCTTCACTGAACCAAACCATTAGTTTATCTCATTGATTCTTCACAATTATCCCAGGATATTGATACCAACAGTACCCATTTATCCCCATTTTACAGATTAGAAAGACTGAGGCTCAGAGACGTATAGCTGCGCACAGTCACACAGTTCTGGAGGTTTGAAGTCCAGACCAGGTCATCGGCCATGTTGGTTCCTTTTGAGGGCTCTCAGGGAATCTGCTCACGCCTCTCTCCCAGCTCTGACAGCCCCTGCATTCCTTGGCTCAGTGCTGCAACATCACATGGCATCCTCTCTGTCTCTTCTCTTCCTTTACAAGGACACCAGTCATCTTGGTAAGTGGCGGAGCCAGGGTATAAACCTAGTTTTCTCTGACTCCAAAGCTAATTATGTATAATAACAATAGCACCCAAGTAATGCACGGATTATACTAATTTCACAAATTCAGTCATCAAAAAAGATCATGCACAGTGACTGCCCTGTGTTGCGTGAACCAGGACACAAGTGAGGTTGACCCACAGCTCCAAGACAACACCAAGAAAGGCTCCAGTTTCACAAGAAAGTCAACTTTCTGCCTAAGTGAGAGGACACGGGAGCAGCCATTTTAGAGATGAACCTGGTGGGATGTATCAAAAAGTCGGGATGTCTGTCTTCCACACCAGCAATTCTCCGTCTCGTTATGGGTCAAAACACTTGTGCTGCTGCACAAAGGAGAAGCAAAGCAAGGCCCACTGCAGCTTTTGGGGTTGAACTGAAAACTGGGAAACAGCCTAAGAGTCTAGCAAAAGGATAGTTTGCTCTGGAATCAGGGAGCCGTTAGCAAGAGCAGTAGATGTGGCTGCCTCAGAAACTGCCCTGTGCACTTTGTTAAAGCACAGTTTAGAACACCCATTCAGAGTGGCGATTTCATGCATCTTTAAGGGTATGTATTCAAATATAAACATTTGTATGTATGTAAATGTACAGAAAAAGGTCTGGAGTAGTATGCTTCAGATGCAAAGTGGGAGCATTGCTTTTAGGGAAGGAAGATTTTGAGAGGAAGTGTGAGAGAGGCTCTTGCACCCTTACTGTTTTATTTATTTATTTATTTAAAGTTTTATTGTGAAACAGGGGCGCTCTGGTGGCATAGTGCCTAAGGCACCTGACTGCTAACCAGAAGGCTGGCGGTTCAAACCCACCAGCCACTCCTCGGAAGGAAGGTTTGGCAATCTACTTCCGTAGAGATACCACCTCGGAAATCCAAGGAGGGGTCGCTATGAGTCGGGTCCGACTCGACGGCAAATAACTACAACATTGTGAAACAGAGCAAATTCATTTTCCATACAGTTCAGACATTTCGTTTCCTGGCATCGACTGCAATTCCCCACAATGTAACAGCTCTCTTCCCACTTCCTGCCTGTAGTTACCTCTTCCCTGTGTCCTTCTTTCCTATGCGTTCCTGTCCCCTGAGCTATCTCCCTGTGCAAATGCTGCCTTTCTGGTCTCCCATGATTGATCGTTCTAAGGAGTATATCTATCTAAATGATGAAAATCACCCATATGCCTACTATTTAGCTGGAAGCCACAGGAGTGTTCAGTTCCAGACCTGAATGACTGAATTTTATAAAGATACTTAGGTAGGACTCTAATTTTCCCCCTCCAGATCAAATCAGGGGGATGAAGTGGACGTGGACTCTGAAGTTGATTTTTCAAGGTCAAGACCACCCCACTATGAGAGAAGTTCTGAAGCAGAACCAGAGTTGATCTCCTCCTTCTTTTCCTGCTTTTTCTTACACTGTTCCCCTTCCCAGCCCCATGCATTCTGTGACTATGCAGAGGCATCATTTAAAACAAAAAACAAACCCTCCCGCCATCGAGTCTAATCCAACTCACAGCAGCCCCCACTGGCTTTCCAAGGCTATAAATCTTTACGGAAGTATATCACCCCATCTGCCTTCTGTGGAGCGGCTGGTGGGTTTGAACCACTGACCTTCTGGGTAGCAGCCAAATTGCCTTATCCACTACTCCAGAGCTCCTTAGAGTCATCGTAGATGGGGTTAAGAAAAGGTATGAAATCCTGGAACTAAAAAAAAATAAATAAATACATATATATATATATTGGAGGGGTGGTCCACACCTGTCATCAGATTCTCAAAGGGACAGCACCACACATGACAAACAGCAGCAGATTTATAAATGATTGTTGAACGAACAAACAAACAGAAAGGGTTTCCAGCCCTCAACACCCTAACCATCTGCTATGGAATGAATTGTGTCCCCTAAAAAAGAAATGGTGAAGTCCCAACACCTGTACTTGTGAGTGTGACCCTGTTTGGAAATCAACTCTTTGAAAATGACATCAGTTAACATGAGGTCCTAACTGGAGTGTGCTGGGTCCTAATCATGGATGAGTGGTGTCCTTGTAAAGGACAAGAAACACTGAGACAAAGAGGATGCCGTGTGACGCTGCAGCTGCGAGCCAAGGAATGCTGGGGGCTGTCAGAGCTAGAAGAGAGGCGTGAACAGATTCTCTGAGAGCCCTCAAAAGGAACCAACATGTGCTGGTCTGATAGAACCTGGTGGAACCACTGAGACTATGGCCCCTCGCTGCCCTTCAGGTCTGGAATTGATCCCACTCCCATGGCTTCCAGCCAAACAAAAGACAGGCATATGAGCTGAACACGTACATCAGGTAGACACACTCCCTGGAGAAAACAATCATGGGAGAAAGAAGGGCTGTTTATGCACAGGGAGACAGCTCAGGGGGTGGGAGTGCATGGAGGGGGATGGACACTGGGAAGAGGTTACTATCGGGAAGAAGTGGGAGGAAGTGGGAGGGGAGCATGTGTATGTGTGTGTGTGTGTGTAAACTGCTGTATGGAAAGTGAATTTGCTCTGTAAACTTTCACCCAAATCACAATTTAAAAAAAAAAGGAACGAACATGATCGATGACCTCATTTGGACTTCTAACCTCCAGAATTATGAGACGATAAATTTCTGTTATGACAAGCCACCTGCTCTGTGGCATCTTGGTACAGCAGCCCTAGGAAATGAATATGCCATCCCACTGTAGCCTCAACAACAAGAAGAGGCAGGAGTTACCTCACACTGAGGGCTGGTCTCATGCCAGGAACCACCACCAGCATCACCCATTAGCCCCTCTGCTGACTCAACAAACCTGGAGGTTTTCACTTCCCCCATTTGACAGATGAGAAAACAAAGGCTCAGGCCTTTGTTTACACAGCTGGTAAGCAGGCCTAACTCCAAAACTCGTAACACTGTGAGTCACAGCCTTTTCAAAGTCTCCTGCATTATCATGAAATGTGAGGCAAGGAGGTATGGGTAAAACGCCATAACCATTAGACACAAAACTCTTCTGGGCTCAATCTTTCTCCCAAGCGTTTGGGGGCTGTGCAATAAAGGGTTAACTCAGCAGGCCCAGAGTATTCAAATCCTATTAATTCCAAAGAAAGGACTGGCCCTTGTAAGAGTCTAGTTGTACGCTTGGGGCCTTGGGCCATGCCAGATGGTTTATGCCAACAATATGATTTATGGTAGAGGGTCTAAGTCCCTGGGGTGAAGGCTGTATCAGGTTGACCTCTGGTGGAGTGAACAGGGGGTGGGCTGGAGATGGTGTAGCTAAGGTCAGTCACCTGGGTGCTCCAAGCCTACACGGCCTGACCGCAATCTAAATGCTGGACACCAAGGCTCAAGTGAGCTTTCCTGGTTGGCAATAGTTTGCACATGTGGTCACACACTGTTGCTGGGAGAATTAAGTTCTGTCCATACAACTCTACCAGGAGAGGACAGCTGGACTTCTGAACTCTGCCTATGCATGGGCCTGTCTCCTTTGTAGCTTTCAGTCTGTATCCCTTCACTGTAATAGGCCATAACCACAAGCTAACAACAGCTCCTCTGAATGCAAGGAGTCATTCTAGTGAATCACTGAGTCCCAGGGGTGAGGTTCTGCTGTGTCTTGCACGGATCTACGCCCCAGCTCTTCCTTGCTCCCAATCCACTTGACAAAATTCAACAGGTGGGGAAAAAGAAATGTATTCATGCTGTGAAGTAAGGCACAAAGAAATGAGCCCCTGTTCACTTTATTCCAACCTTTCTTCCCCCCACCCGTGAAAGAAACGAAACAGAACTGAGGAGGAATCAAAGAAAGCCTCATATATTAAATTCTTAAATAGATTCTCTGAATTCAAAGTCAGGATGAACAGGAGAGGCACAGGTTGTGGGCCTTGTCCCAGCAAACAAAGCCACTAAGGCAGTCCCGCAAATTAAGGAGGACGGAAGATCCATTTCTTAAAAAAAAGTTCTTAAGGGGAAAAATAGAAAATACCTAAGTTTCAAAAGCCGGGCTACTTCCCCACATTTTGTTCTCTGACCTGGTTGTGTCCACAGATAAGAGAGTTGCAAGGTAAGTTTTCAATAATTTAGCTTTTGCAAACATATGCAAATACATTCCTCATCAGTAGTCCTGTTTTGGCGATTGATAGCAAGCAATATGCTTGGATTAGAGGTCCGATTTCCACTTGAGTGCAAAGTTCCTTCGCTTCTTGGCAACAGAAAGCCATATGTAGAGATCTGGAAGAGAGAAAGCCTGCATTAGCCTCAGAGCAGCAATTCTGTAATAGATCTCTCCTTTTTATAGGTGTGGTGAGCTTGTGAGGTTCTATGTATGTATCCCAGATGGCCAGAGAGAATTTAAAGATAAAAAGGATTCTTCTTACCTACATCCCAACCCACATCATATCGGTGACATAGCCTCCAGCCTCAAAGCAACACACAAGCCACCACAGTATGACAGTGTGACAGACGAGTGGTGGACACCAACCACGATCCCCACAAGTAACAGCTCTCTTCCCACCCCCTCCCTGTGGTTCCCTTTTCTATTGGTCTTTCTTTCCTATCCCTTCCTGCCCCCTGAGCTTTATCCCTGGGCAAATCTGCCCTTTTGATCTCGGGTGGCCGATTCTTCTAAGGAGTGCCTGCCCCTCTAGTGTTCCTGGTCACCTTATGGACCTGCCCACTGCTTGGTGAAAGCTGAGCCACGGGGGTGAGTTCAGTTCCAGCGTTGAAGGGTGACTGAGGGCTGCACTCTCAGGGGTTCCACCAGGGTGTACAGACCAGTAAGCCTGGTCTTTTTCAGAATTTTGAGTTTCGTTCCACATTTTTCTCCCACTCTATCCCACAACTCCTACTGTGATCCCTGTAAGAACAGTCAATAGTGTTTGCTGGGCACCATCTAGCGCTTCTGGTCTCAGGGTGAGGAGCCTGAGGTTTGCGGAGGCTGAGGTTCACGTGGTCCATTAGTCCTTTGGACTATTTGTTTTCATGGGTTTTTGATTTTCTTCACATTTCTTTGCTTCAGATGGAGAGGAACCAATAGTCGCACCTTAGATGATGCTCGGTGGCTTTTAAGAACTCGGTCACTACTCACCACAGCAGGATGTAGAACCTTGTCTTTGTAAACTGTGTGATGCCAATTGAGTCAGCTGTCCCCTGAGACTGTGGTCCTAAGCCCACAAGCCCAGGGATTTATTACCTCTTCCAAACCAAAACAAACTCACTGCCATCAAGTTGATTCTGACTCATAGCGACCCCCTGTAGGTTTCCGAGGCAGTAATCTTTATGGAAGTAGATTGCCCAGTCTTCCCTCCACAGAGTGGCTGGTAGGTTTGAACTGCTAACCTTCTGGTTAGCAGTCAAACGCCTTAGGCACTGAGCCACCAGAGCTAGCTCCTTATTACCTCTAGGTGTTTGGTTAGGGCTAAAAATCTGTTCTTACTCATAACGAGCAAATGTTAGGGATTATATGAGTATCAATGGGTTTCTTGCTTGGGGGGCAAGGGTAGGATTATCACTCGATCACAGCCAACTCTTCACCAGGGGATATCTACAATGTCCACATGTGGGATCTCATTTACATAGTCAAGTGAGGGATAGACCTAGCTTTTGTCAACAAGGTTCTGGATTCCAGTAACGAATATGCAGACAGAGGATGAGAGGGTGAGAGAGAAACATGGAGAAAGGCTGTTTTCAATGGGAGGGTTCTTGTCTCTGGAACTAAGTCCAGCTCCAGGATCCTGGTGCCCCTCGGGATGGGAGTCCTGACAATGACACAGGCTAGGTCTCTCTAGACCTGCAGGGTGGTGCAAACCGGGGCTAGGGAAAAACTGAAAAAGGTACTGATTGTTTAAAATTAAGAAGCCAAGACCAAAAACAGAGTACAAGCTTGAAGCTCTAAGTTCTAGTCCTAGAAGAATAGGGAAAATGCCCCTGAACACTGATCCCTGACCCTGCTGTGGGGTTCCTGGCTGTGGGCCTCCCTGCTGTTTCCTGATCAGAAGCTGGGGACAGAGGAACAAGCTCGCTCATCGAGATTTTCACATCAACGCCCAGGGCTGCACTGACAGCCTGGCACTTTACAGTTTACAAGCACACCCACCTGGGCCAGCTCACTCCGCTCCATGACCACCCTCAGAGGGGGGTGTTTATGGATCCCCATCCTCCAGATGTGGGCAATGGAGGCAGAAAGAAATCCAGCCTCCAAGGAGTTCTTAAATCTTTGAATTCTCAAGTTCAGAAGCCCTCTCCCTACCCCTCACAAAACACAGGTGCGTGAACATGCACTGAAAATTGTTCACTGAGAGCAATCTCCAGGGTAGACGACTTCTGCCATTGGGTGGCTGTGTGGGCTGGGGCAAGTTAACGTCCTTCTCTGGGCTTTGGTTCTCTCTTCTGGAAAATGGAAAGAACCATGCTGCCGGACCCACAGGGCCGCCGGGGGTTAAAGGAACATCTCACAAAGCGTACCTGGCCCAAAGCTATGGGGTTATTCTTGGAGCACAACCGCGGCGACTATTATTAGAACATTAACTGCTTTGGGCCAAACCTGATGCTGTTTCTAAAAGTCACACTGGCAGACAGCATTTTGTGCAAAAAATGCTAGAATCCTCTCCATCTCAATGGCCGATCCTGCTCCTTCCCAGATGCTGGACCAATGAAGGGACTTTTTTCGTTTTTGGTTGGTTCAGCATCACCCCCACCCCCATCACTGATGCAGGGCCAAGAAACTAAGCCTCCACCCTATAAATAGCAATGCCAGCCTGTCACCATGGAAACCTCTGATGGGGCTGGGTCAGCCCACCTCAGTGGACACTTCTCCCCAGGGAAGCTCTGTAAGGACAAGCATTTCAGAAGAGCGGCTCCTGGGCTCAAGGGCAGTGAGAGCTCCCAGCAAAGTCTGCAGGCCTACCTGGAAATCACGAGCTTCCTAGGTAGAGGAGGTGCTGTTCGGGTTCACCTGTAGGAAGGTAACACACAGGAAAAGGGCGTCACGGCCAAGGTCACAGGGGAGGCTCACCGTTCCGAGGTTCATTCCTCACCATCAACTTAGTCAATGACTATTTACTGTGTACCTACTCCACGGTGGGGCTATTATAAGCGATATGCCAGGCCCAAGCTTGTTGTCATGGACCTTACCTTCTAGTGGGGGACAAAAACAAACCAAAACAAAAAAAACCACTGCCATCAAGTCAATTCCAACTCATAGCAACCCTACAGGGCAGAGAAGAATTGCCCATAAGGTTTCCAAGACTGTCAACCTTTACAGAAGCAGATTGCCTCGGCTTTCCCCGGCAGAGCAGCAGCTGGGTTCAAACCTGACTGGTTAGTAGTCGAATGCTTTAACCACTGTGCCACTTGAGCTCTTAGTAGGGAAGACAGTCTGGCTTAAAAAACACAAATGCAAGGTCATGTCCAAGCCAGGCACTACAATGAGCTGACCACTGGAGAGTAAAGGCCTCTATGAGGGAATGACATTTAAGCCAAGATCTGAAAAAGAGCCGGCCATGCAAAGCTCTGGATGGGAAAGCGTTCCAGGCCAAGGGAACAGCAGAGACCTGGAAGAGGGAGGGTGTGGCTGGAGATGAAGGAGTGAGGGGACAGTGAGGGAGGTGCGGGGGAAGACTGGGGTTAGGTGCAGAATGCGGGTGGCTCTGCTGAGGACAGGAGTGGCCACCAGGACAGGCAAAAGTCACCCATTCATAGTTTGCTCCTATTGTTGCTGGCAGGTCCCCAGGTCACGGGGATCCCATAACGGAACAAAACACTGCTCTGTCCTGCACCACCCTCAGGACTGGGCCACTGTGAGCTATACGGTTTCCGCTGGCTGATTTTCAGAAATAGATCACCAGGCCTTTCTTCCCAGTCTGTCTTAGTCCGGAGGCTCTGCTAACACCTGTAATGGACCACAGCAACATGCAAGCCTCCCCTGACAGACGGGTGGGTCTGCGCATAGAGTGCACTGGCCGGGAACTGAATCCCGGTCTCCCGCACGGAGTTCTACCGCGGCACCACCACTCTTCACAATTTCGCTTAGTCCTCGGTCACCTGCATGTCGGACACATGCCATACACTGCAGAGTGGTGTAAGCCGATCCGACCTTTTACAAAGCAATGTCAGCCTTGTAGTTCAAGAGCCTTAAAAAGATCTGGACCCTTCCGCCCAGATTCCACTCTTAAAAATGTATCGTAAGGGAATAAACGGTCCCTAAATCAGAAGGTCGGCAGTTCAAACCCACCAGCCACTCTGCGGAAGGAAGGCAGGGCTATCTACTTCCATAAAGATTTACAGTCTCGGAAACCACACAGGGGTTGCTATGAGTCAGAATCGACTCGATGGCAGGGAGTCTGGGTTTTGATTTGAGCCTGCAAGAATAAAAAGAAAAATCCACTGCCACTGAGTCGATTCCAACTCATAGCGACTCCCATTGGGTTTCCAAGGCAGTAAATGCCTCATCTTCCTTCCGTGGAGCAGCTGGTAGGTTTGAACCATCAACCTTCTGGTTAGCAGTCAAATGCCTTAGGCACTGCACCACCAGAGCTCCTTCAAACTGCAAAAGAGAGGCACAATTCAGGGAGGCAGTTAAATGGTGGCACATGAGTACCACGTAAGTATTCAAAATGGTACAGTGAACCTGGAAAGAGGGATAAATACTGAAAAAGCAAGCCAGAAGAGCTCCCACATTGGAACTGCAACAAATGCAAAACGGATAGTCAAGGGGCACAAGGCAACACAAAAAAATGAGAACAGCTCAGATGGTGGATAACCCTCCCCACCGTTGATTCTATTTCTGATTCATGTTACATCATCTTTTGGGTTAAAACAATAAAGCAGTACTCTTTATTTTTGGCAGCACTTTTTCACGGCAGCAAGGGATGGGGACAGGCATGCACAGGGTTTCTAATTCCCACAGTAGGGGCATGGACCCCTCCGCAGTCTATGAAATGCTCGAACGCTGTGGCTCTGGGAGCTCAGCGTTCATGAATTGGGTAATTAAACTGGGGACTAGCATAGTCTCTTTATTTTGCCCAATTCACACACACACACACACACACACAAACTAAAACTACTAATCTGAGCACCACTGTTTCATTTAGCAGGGAATTTTAACACTGAAAGAAAAAGATGGCGCTCATGTCAGTCCACCCCTTGTCTGTTAGTCTCTTGCATGTGGCTCTGAGGCTGGAAGCTCTGTCACTGGTATTTCAAAAACCAGCAGGGTCACCCCTAGTGGACAGGTTTCAGTGGAGCTTCCAGGCTAAGAGAGACTAGGAAGAAAGACCTGGCAATCTGCTTCCAAAAATCAGCCAGTGAAAACCTTATGAATCCTAACAGAACACTGTCTGACTCACTGGCTTTGGCCATGTCATCAGGAGGGATCAACTGCCGGAGGCGGGCATCCTGTTTGGGGAAGGAAAGGACCGAAGAGGGCAAAGGAGACCCTTGGTGAGACGGAGTGGCAGTAAAGCCACAATGATGGACTCAAACATGCTGGTGGCTGTGGAGATGGTGCAGGACCAGCCAACGTTGCGTTCTGTTGTAGGGAAGGTCACCATGAGTCAAGAGCTGATGCAACGATAGCAGCTCTCCGTCTGTAATGTCAGAAAGGGCAGTCCTACTGGCACGGGGCATCTCTTGCCTCTCAGGAACACGCCTGGGAGGCTCAGCAGGCAGGGCCAGGGGACGCGCAGGGAGCGCAGGTGCCAGTGGAGGTCTGCATCCGCATGTGGACACGCAGGTCCCCTCGTGCTTCCCGTTTGTCAGTAGACAGATGAAAATTTTAAGAACATCCATTACAACTGCTCTCCAGCCAGGAGGCAAAGTGAAGCAATAGGAGCAGGCTGAAAGGCCGGTGAGATTTGGCCACCTATAGACCCTGTTACTGACCACCCCGCCACTTCACAAACGAGAAACTGGCTGAAAGGCTGGTGAGATCTGGCCACCTAAAGACCCTGTTACTGACCACCCCACCACTTCACAAATGGAAAACTGTGACAGTCAGGGCAAGTGGAGTATTCAGGGGCACGCGGCAAGATGGTAAAGCCAGGACAATCAGAAATCTGACTTTCCGTTGAGGTTTCTAACCTGAAAATATCCTTTTAGATTGGCTGGTGTTTTGAAGTCCCCTTTCAAAACCTAGGGGAGAGAGAGAGAGAAAAAAATCACTTTTATAGAAGTAACCAAAAAATAAAATTTAGTCCGTCACCTCCCCCACACATCCATCTAACAAATACGTATTGAGCTCATTCGTTCCGGCATTAGTCCAAGCACTGGGTGTTCAGCTTTAACAAGACAAAATGAAATTCTTGCTCTTCTGGAATGGCTAATTCCAGAGAATCCAGACAATACACAAGTAGCAATTTGTACAAATAAACAAGAACATACCAGGAAGTACTATGAAGAAAGTAACAGGGAGGATGTAGTTAGCAACACTGTGGGGGCTTCTTTTGGTTGGATGGTCAAGAAGGGCCTCTTGGAAAAGGGGATCTTTGAGCTGAGCCTTGAATGACAAGGAGACTCAGCCAGGCTAAGCTCCAAAGAGGATGTTCCGGGCAGAGGAGACAGATCAGGCAAAGGCTCTGAGGTAGAAACCAAACATCCCGGGCCTTTCCACTATCTCCTGGTACAAAAGGCACCATATAGGCCAGCACTGCCCAACAGAAACTACACTGTGAACCACATACACAATTTAAATTTTCTAGTAGCCATATTTGAATACTAAAAATAAACAAGTGAAATTAAAATTTGGTAATATTAATAATATACTTTACTAACTCTATGTATCTAAAGGGAGCTCTGGTAGTGTAGTGCCTAAGGCACTTGACTGCTAACCAGAAGGCTGGCAGTTCAAGCCCACCAGCCACTCCTAGGAAAGAGGATTGCACAATCTACTTCCGTAGTGATACTGCCTCAGAAACCCCAGGAGGGGTTGCTATGAGTCAGATCTGATTTGATGGCAGCGAGTTTGGTTTTTTTGGTATGTATCTAAAGGGGGGATTGGTGGTACAGTGGATAAGGCACTTGACTGCTAACCAGAAGGTCAGCAGTTCAAATCCACCAGCTGCTCTGAGGAAGGAAGACTGGGCGATCTACTTCCGTAAAGATTTACAGCCTCGGAAACCCAATGGGGGTTGCTATGAGTTGGAACAACTCGATGGCAGTGAGTTTGGTTTTGGTTTATATATCTCAAATGACTTCAATATAAAAATGCTGGAGATTTATATCTCTGTGTGTATACACATATATATTCATATATATGTATATATTTTTTTGCCTGAGTCTTCAAAATCCAGCATGTAGTTTACACTTACCAAACCAAACCAAACCCCTTGCCATCTAGTCCATTTCAACTCACAGTGACCTTACAGGACAGAGGAGAACTGCCCCATAGCTGGTCTCCCGTGGACCAGCTGGTGGGTTCGAACCACTGACCTTTTGGTTAGCAGACAAATGCCTTAACCACTGAGCCCCCAGAGCTCCTTTGACACTTATGGCAGCCTTCAGTTTGGACCAGACACATTTCATGGGCTCAAGAGTCACATGTGGCTAGTGGCTACCATAATGGACAATGCAGGTGTACACAATTTCATTAGCATATTCATAAAGAGAAACAAATGCAGAAAACAAGATGACATCACTGTACCAGTTTGTCTGCTATTAGATGCTGTAGAGTCAGAGATAGTCTACCTGTTGGCTTTAAGCTTCCTTACAGCCTGTGATGGTTAAGGTTGTGTGTCAACTTGGCTAGGCCATGATTCTCAGTGGTTTGGCAGATAAACAGTATGTTATCATCCTCCATTTTGTGATCTGATGTGAGCACCCAATCAATTGAAAGGGGTGGTTCCTTGAGGGTGTAGCCTGTATCCAACATACACAGATCCTTTGGCAAAGCTCACTACCTCTAGATCCTGCATTGGACTCATCATGTTCTGAGCTCTTGGTGTGAACCAGCGGCCGGCTGCCTGACCTGCTGATTTTGAGTTCATCAGCCCCTGCAACTACATGAGTCTGCAAAAGCCTCCAGTATGACACCTGACACATGGATTTGGGACTTGCCAGCCTTCACAACTGTGTGGTCATTTCCTCGTAAGAAATCTCTCTACATATATTTATATATGAACCCCTTACTGGTTTTTCTCCTCTAGAAAACCTAGCCCGAGACATCTGGTACTGAGCATGGTTCTATAGAAACGTAAGGATAAATTCTGTGAACTGGTTCTCAAGTCTGGCTAGTCTTCAAGGTGCTGATGACTTGGTCCCCAGTAGTAAAGAGGACACTGCTCATCCATGGTGTGAGGCAGCAATAAAAATACGCACAGTATCACCACCAATCGGTTAAATATTTGTGCGAAACAAGTCTCTGGGTGACTGCATATTTGATATTTTTCTATAATTTTGCACAATGAATAGCAAAGGAAGCTGGTTGGTTGGTCCTACTTTCATTAGATCAAGTGGCAAAAGAAAGGGACGAGTTCCAAGCTTCAAAGCCACAGATCAAGTGTCACATATAAAACCTGAAAGTTGACACTCGTGCCCCAAAAGCAAGCCTTATTTCTTGTAGTAACAGAATCAACATTGCTGAAAATGAAACCCAGGGTCTTATTCTAAGAGTGGCTGAATTACATGAATTGAATTCCCAGCCTCTAATGGTACCTGAAGTGAGGGCACTGATTGTGAAGAAATGGGATCCCGAAACTTGAGATGGGGACATATGCGCAGGAATATGGGGATATATAATCAGGAAGCTAGGGGCATTGTGTCCCTAAATTCTGTTGAATCACTTCTGCCAACAACCAGCCCTTTTACTCCCATAGGAAGAGCTAAGTCCATCCTTGTCTGCCAAGCCATCCTCTCCAGTGAAAACATTATCCTTTCCATCCCCATCCGAAGAAATGAACCCAGCTGTGAATGAACCCAGTCTTTGTCTGATATCATTCGGAGTGCTTTGCCTGGGGAATGGCATTAGTCCAAGCACTACATGATGGACATTGCTAAATGTCTCCAGGACCCACCCTACCACCCATTTTTGCTGCTAGACCTATTAACTAGACTTAAACCCAGTGAGCCCCAACAGGTGAAGTACGAAGTGTGACCCGGGAGGAGGTCCACTACACTCCAAAAGAACTGCTTGATTTCTCTAACATGTACAAACAGAAACCTGGGGGAGTATGTGTAGGAATGGTTCTTAAGGGTGTGGGAATGATGCAAGGAATACAGGGTTGGATCAGTCTCAGGTTACTGATGTGGGTTCACTAAGCACAGATCCTTCATTCGATGTTTCAGCTCAAGAGGTCAGAAAAGGATCTAATAGTTTCTTTGGCTGGTTTACTGAAGCATGGATTAGGCAGTGGCTTACACTAAATCAAGCTGAAGTGCCAGACCTGCCTTTGTATACTGCAGAAAAGGGTATCCAGAGGCTTAGGGAAATTTGGCATGCTAGAGTGGATTTATCAGGCTGGACCCACAGACCCACACATGGAGTGCCCAGAGGACACATGCTTTCCCACAAAGGTGAGGAACAAATTTGTGAAGGGAGCCCCAGCATCCCTCAAGACTGCTGTGGTTAGCATTTTTTGTCAGTCAGATTTCACAGTGGGAACTGCTCTAACTGAATTAAGACACCTAACTACAATGGGGCTGACTGGATCCTGTGGTGCTAAGGGCCAACTACCAGCACTTAATGGACAAAGACAAGGTGGCGATAGTTACTGTAATGGATAGCAGTTGAAGCAGTAATCAGAATAGTCTGACTCGTATGGACGTATGGCGTTGGCTACTTAGGCAATAGTGTACTTAGGAGTGAAATAGATGGGAAATCAGCTAAATACTGACTTGATCTCCACAAGAGGAAGGATTCTAGGCCAAGAGAATGGCAATCTAACTTGAATAGCCAGAACAGAGAGTCGCAATCCCTCAATCAATCCCCAGACTTGAGCCAGTTTAAAGACCCAAAATTCCTTGAATGAAGGGGAGGCTGGATCCCTTTGAGGAAGGACCCTGCTACACTGCCAGGTACTGATACTGTTAATCTTTCTTCCAGCTTTCCCCAAAGGGATCTACAGCCTTTTACAAGAGTGACTGTTCACTGGGGAAAAGGAAATAATCAGATTTTGGGGGTATCTGGACACTGGCTCTGAATTGACACTAACTCCAGGGGACTCAAAACGAAAGTTGTTGATGGAGTCTTAGCTCAGGTCCATCTCGCAGTGGGTCCAGTGGGTCCCCAAACCCATCCTGTACTGATTTCCCCAGTATGAGAAGGCATAATTGGAATAGAAATACTCAGCAACAGGCAGAACTCCCACCTTGGATCCCTGACACGTGGAGTAAGGGTTATTATGGTAAGAAAAGCTAAGTGGAAGCCATTAAAACTGCCCCTCCCTAGGAAAATAGTAAACCGAAAGCAATACGGCTTCTGGAGGGACCACAGAGATTAGTGCCACCATCAAGGACTTGAAGGATGCAAAGGTAGTGATTCCTATCACATCCCCATTCAACTTGCCTATCTGGCCTATGCCAAAAACAGACGGGTGTTGGCAAATGAATGTGGATTATCATAAGCTTAACCAGGTGGTTAAGCTGCTAAATGCAGCTGCTGTTCCAGATGTGGTTTCATCACTTGAGCAAACACATTTCCTGGTACTTGGTATGCAGCCACTAATCTGGCCAAAGCCTTTTTTTCAGTTCTGGTTTCTAAGGATCACCAGACCCAGTCATCCTTCAGCTGGCAACGCCAGAAGTACATCATCGTCATCCAACCTCAGGGTTATATCAACTCGGCTCTATGTCATGATTTAGTCCTCAGAGACCTTGGTCGCCTTTCCCTTCCACAAGATGTCACACTGGTCCACTACACTGATGGCATTATGCTGAATAGACCTAGTAAGGAAGAAGCATCAATGACACTAGGCTTATTGGTAAGACATATGCATGCTACATGGTGGGAAATTAACCCACCAAAAATCTAGGCATCTTCCACCTCAGTGAAATTTCCATATCCAGTGGGACATGTAGAGATATTTCTTCTAAAGCAAAGGATAAGTTGTTGCATCTGGCTTCCTACACAATTACAAAGGAGGCAATGCCTGGTGGGCCTCTTTGGATTTTGGCAGCAACATATATCTCACTTGGGTGTGCTACTCCAGACTATTTATCAAGTGATTCAAAAAGCTGCTAGTCTTGAGTGGAGCCCAGAACACGAGAAGGTTGTGCTATAGGTTCCGGCTGCCATATAAGCTGCTCTGCCACTTGGGTCATATGATCCAGCTGATCCAATGGTGCCTGAAGTGTCAGTGCAGAGAGAGCAGATGCCGTTTGGAGTCTCTGACAGCCCCCTGTTGGTGAATCAAAGTGTAGACCCTTACAATTTGGGAGTAAAGCCTTGCCATCCTCTGCAGATAATTTCTCCTTTTGATAAACAGCTTTTGGCCTGTTATTGAATGCTTGAGTAGGGCCACCAAGTCACCATACAGCCTGAGCTGCCCATCATGAATTGGGTATTGTCTGACCCACGGAATCATAAAGTTGGACGTGCACAGCAGCAATCCATCTTAAATGGAAGCGGTATATAAGAGATCGGGCTCAAGCAGGACCTGAAGGCACAAGTAAGTTACATGAGGAAGTAGCCCAAATACCCACGGTCCCCATCCCTGTCACATTACTTCCCTCTCCCAGTCTGCACCTATGGCCTCCAGTAAGTTCCTTATCATCAGTTGGCTGAGAAATGGAAAAGTTGCACCTGGTTTACTGATGGTTCTGTGCAATATGTAGATACCACTCAAAAGCGGACAGTGGCTGCACTGCAGCCCCTTTCTGGGACCTCCCTGAAAGACGGTGTGAAGGGCAATCATCCCAGTAGGCAGGACTTTGAGCAGTGCATCTGGCTGTTCACCTTGCTTGGAAGGAGAGATGGCCAGATGTGTGACATATACTGATTCATGGAGTATGGCCAATAGTCTGGGTGGACGGTCAGAGATGTGAAAGGAACATGATTGGAAAATTGGGGACAAGGAGGTAGGGGGAAGAGGCATGCAGACAGACCTCTCTGAATGGACCAAAGAAGTGAAGATATTTGTGTCTCATGTGAAGGCTCACCAAAATGTGACCTCGGCAGAGGAGGACTTTAACCATCAAGTGGATAGTATGACACTTTCTGTGGAAACCAGCCTTTCCTCAGCCACCCATGTCATTGCTCAATGGGATCATGAACAAAGAAGCCATGGGGGCAGGGATGGAGGTTATGCATGGGCTCAGCAACATGGACTTCCGCTCACCAAGGCTGGCCTGGCTATAGCCACTGCTGAGTACCCAATCTATCAGCAGCAGAGACCAACACTGAGTCCATGACATGAAATGAACCATTCTTCAAGGTATTCAGCCAGCAACCTGGTGGTAGGTTGATTATACTGGACCACTTCTATCATGAAAAGGGTAATGTTTTGTTCTAACTAGGATAGACACTTAGTCTGAATATGGATTTGTCTTCCCTGCATGCAATGCTTCTGCCAAAACTATCACCCATGGACTTACAGAATGCCTCATTCACTGTCCTGGTGACCCACATGGCATTGTCTTGGATCAAGGGACTCACTGCACAGCAAATAAAGTGTGACGATGGGCCCATATTCACGGAATTCACTGGTTTTGCCATGTTCGCTATCATCCTGAAGCAGTTGGCTTGCTAGCATGATGAAATGGCCTTCTAAAGATACAATTATGGTACCATCTAGGTGGCAATATCTGAAGAGGTGAGGCAACGTTCTCCAGGCAAGTGCATATGTTCTAAAACCATATCCAATATATGGTATTGTTTCTCCCATAGCCAGGATTCATGGGTCCAGGAATCCAGGGGTGGAAATGGGAGTAGCACTACTTACTATTACTCCTAGTGACCCAACTCACAAAATTTTTGCTTCCTGTCCCTGTGACTATGCTCTGCAGGTCTGGAGGTCTTAGTCTTAAAGGGAGGAACACTCCACCTGGAGACATAATACCAACTCCATTCAACTGGAAGTTAAGAATGCCACCTGGCCACTTTGGGCTCTTGGTGCCTCTGGATCAACAGGCAAAGAAGGGGGTTACTATACTGGCTGATATGACTGACCCTGATTACCAAGGGGAAATCAGATTGATATTACATAATGGAGTTAAAGAAGAGTATGTCTGGAACACAGGAGATCTCTTATGGCATCTCTTAGTACTACCATGCCTTGTGATTAAAGTCAATGGAAAACCACAGCAATCCAGTTCTGATATGACTACTAATGGCCCAGACCCTTCTTCTAGTCAAAGAACCATAACCAGCTGAGGTGCTTGCTGAGAGCAAAGGGAATAGGTAATGGGTGGTGGAAGACCAACCACAGCCACTTCACCAGTTGTAGAAACAAGAATTGCAACTGTTTTTAATATTTCTTTGCTTGTTACACGTGTACGTGTGTGTGCACATATATAATAAGGGAGACTCGACTCACTGACGTCGAGTCAATTTGACTCATAGTGACCCCTCCTTGGGTTTTCGAGGAGGTATCTCTATGGAAGTAGATGACCCAATCTTCCTTCTGAGGAGTGGCTGGTAGGTTTGAACCACCCGCCTTCTGGTTAGCAGTCAAATGCCTTAGGCACTACGCCACCAGAATGCACATATACAGATATACATATATCTTTACATAAATATATAAGCAGCTTCTGTTGATCTGGCATCCCACTCACTATCCTCTGACTTCTTGTTCTTGGGATGAGAGCCAGCAGCCTACCATCTGACCGTTAGATTTTGGTATCATCGGTCCCTACAACCATGTGTGTCAGGGGAAGCCTCCAGTGTGACCTCTGATCTACAGATCTGGGACTTGCCAGCCTCCACAACTGCATGAGCCATAAATAATTCTCTCACTCTCTCTCTCTCTATATGTATACGTTTATATATATGCTTCACTGGTTTTGCTCCTCTGGAGAACCCAGTTTAAGACACAGCCCAAGCGAAAATGGAAATAAAAGCAGTTATATGATTCACCACGTGCATTAGACACAAGCAGACCAGCTGCTCAGGAATCAAGCAACTGTTTTCTCGGGCAGCCCCCGATGAAGCCCGAGACCCCCTCTCTGGGTGTGCACACTCACTCACCCGATAGGTATTGTTGATGACGATGGGGTCAGGGTTGCCGTAGTTGGGTGGGTTTGCATAGGGGTCATAGCCAAGCCGAGCTAGCATGGGGGCGATCTGAGCCATGTCTCTCACCACATCCCCAGGAATGTGGCCAGTCCACTTGGAGAGTGCTTCCAGGTTCACAGGCTTGATGACCTGATCCGTGGACCGCTCGATCCTGGGGAGAGAGGACAGGCTGTACTGGGCAAGGGCAGACACAGACAGTGGCTGAGAGGCTTCCCTGCTCAGTGTCCCAGGGCAGTGGGGAAGGTCAGGGAGACTTGACCCCAGCACAGTGCCGCCACCAACCGTGAGACTATGGGTGAGTCACTTTGCTCATCATACCTCCTCTGTACAATGGGGAAAAGAACAAACGGTGGTAAGTCAGATGCAAGTACTAGGCTGTGAATACTGTTGGTGAATAAATTCTGCTTTCCTAACTCTTAATTTTGCACAAATAACTTTGTGTTTATACAACATGAAGATTTTGTCCTTGTATTAAAATAAAAATCATACAACTTTGATGATAAAGCTAGAATTCATTATTTCTAGTCCATCACTCTCTATGGGTAACCCAGTCTTAAAGAGTCTCTGGGTGGCACGAAGAGTTAAGCACACGATTACGAACCAAAAGGATGGCAGTTCAAATCCAAGCAGAGGCACCTTGGAAAAAAGCCCTGGTGACGTGCTCCTGAAAGATCACATCCATGAAAACCCATGGAGCATAATCCTACTCTGACCACATGGGGCCACCTTGAGTTTGAACGGACTCAATGACAACTGGTTCTTCTCACATTCTTTCAATGCTTTTGTCTGTGCCTTAAATAGTAGAACGGTAAGAGCAGACTCAGCAGCCAGACTGCCTGGGCTCACGTTTCAGCTGTAGTACCACTCGATGGGTGGCCTTGGTGAATTACTTCACCTCCCTGAGCCTCAGCTTCCTCCTCTATAAAATGGGAATCATAGTATCCACCTCACTGAGCTGTTCCTAAAGTGAATGAATTAATACAAGGAAAAGTGCTTAGAAGAGTGCATGGCATATTATAAGTTCTAATTACCACAGGAGCGCTGGTGGCATAGTGCCTAAGGCATCTGACTGCTAACCAGAAGGTTGGCGGTTCAAACCCACCACCACTCCTCGGAAGGAAGGTTAGGCAATCTACTTCCGTAGTGATACTGCCTTGGAAACCCAAGGAGGGGTCGCTATGAGTCGGATCTGACTCAGCAGTGAATAATAACCATTAAAGGAGCTCTGGTCGAACAGCAGATAAGGCATTTGGTTGCTAACCAAAAGGTTGGCAGTTCAAACCTACTAGCTGGTAGTGTAGTGCCTAAGGCATTTGACTGCTAATCAGAAGGCTGGCGGTTCAAACCCACCAGCCACTCCTCAGAAGGAAAGTTGGGCAATCTACTTCCGTAGTGATACTGCCTCGGAAACCCAAGGAGAGTTCTCTATGAGTCAGATCCAACTCGAGGGGAATGGGTTGGGAGCTGCTCCATGGAAGGAAGATGAGGCAATCTACTTCCCTAAAGATTTACAGCCTTGGAAACCCACTGGGGGGCTGCTATGAGTCAGAATCGACTCAATGGCAGCAGCTTGTGGGGTTTTTTTTTTTAAATAACCGTTAGCAACCACACATATACACATACGCGCATGCACAACACACACACGAAAAATCGACAAATCTACTGTTTCGTTTGCAGGGTTTTTTTTTTTTTTAATTTTTATTGTGATTTGGGTGAAAACGGACAGAGCAGATTCACTGTCCATATAGCAGTTCATACACATTTTGTTTCGTGACTGCAATTCCCCATAATGTAACAGCTGTCTTCCCACTTCCTCCCTGTGGTTACCTCTTCCATGTGTCCTTCTTTCCTAAGCACTCCTGCCCCTGAGCTGTCTCCCTGTGCAAACACTGCCCTTCTGTTCTCCCACGACTGATCGCTGTAAGCAGTGTACCTACCTCGTGTACACGTTCACCCTACGTGCCTGTCGATTGTTTGACTGGAAGCCACAGGAGTGAGCTCAATTCCAGACCTCAAGGGTCACTAGGGGCCAGTTCTCAGGGGTCTCACAGGGCTCTATCAGACCAGCAAACCTGGTCTTTTTCATGATCTTGAGTTTTGTTCCACATTGTTCTCCCACGCTATCCACGATCTTGCAGATTTTAAAACAGAAATTACATGGTGTATGTATTGTTTTGTAACATATTTTTCTTTTCACTCAACAACATCTCATTCTTTTTTTCCTGCCGTGAAGCACTTGACAGCATGACTATCTGACAGCTTATTTGTCCATTCCCCTAGCAACAGCACATTTAGGTGGTTTCCAGCCTTCTGCTGCTACAAAGTAACTACCATCATCAGCACTTCCTTACACTTCCCCATAGCAGGCTCCTAAGCCATCGGAATCCTTAGGATCTTACCAATTACAGTTCATGCACTATAACTAGGGCTGCAGGGCCTATTTCTAGATGCTTCCATCCCAGTTAAGATGACTTGGGGGTGAAAGACAGAAACAGAAAGATGCAGTGAAAGGAAGACAGGCCTGGGAATGAAGAGGACTGGGGAAAGCGAAAGGGCGTGGAGGAGTGGGAAGGGCATGGACATGGAGTCTGAAGACCTGGGTTTGAATCTCAGCTCTACCCAGCGTGTCCACAGTCTCAAGCACATGCATGAGACTATCTTCTATCGCTAGGACTCGAGGGTACAGAATAACTCGACCATGTCCCAGGACATTCACGGGAGCAATGCTTGCTTGGTAAGAGTCAAAAGCAGAAATAACCTAAGTGTCCGACAATAACACACCCACTGCCATCGAATTGATTCCAACTCGTAGCAAGCAACTCTTTAGGACAGAGTAGAACTGCCTCCACAGGGTTTCTAAGGCTGTCAATTTTCACAGAAACAGACTGCCTCATCTTTCTCCTGGCGAGTGGCTGGTGGGTTTGAACTGCCAACTTTCAGGTTAGCAGCAGCACGCTTTAACCATTACACTGCCTGAGCTCCTTGTTCAACAACAGGGGATGTTAAACAGAACATGGTCATTCACATACTGGAATAGTATACAGCCATTCAAAATGATGTCACAGCAGTGTGCTGGATGCCATGGGTGAATGGTCTCACAGATAAAATGAGTAAAAGTTACATCATATTCTGAAGGACTTCAGTCAATATGCCCGTCTGACAAAGGACCAATAAGCCATATATCAAAATATAGATCGTGGGATTATGGGTTGTATTTCCTTTCTTTTTCAGATATTCCCCAATTTTCTGTGATAGAGATATATCCCTTTAGTGATCTGATTTTTTGCCACAATCATTTACAAAATCCCAGCTCCAGCACTAATAATGTCCCATTCTTTTTCCCAGCAGTCGCATCCCACGATATGAATGTACATGTGGTGGAATGAGTTCCTTTATGTGGCCTTTGCCTTGGTTCTTTGGAAAAATATCTTGACATATTCCACCCCACCCCCGAGCCCTAAGGAGTTACTTTTGCCCTAATTTTTACATCAGAGGGTCTGTTACTTTTGTCTAGGTGGACTGACATCTCCTGGAAAGCTGTAAGCCACCTGACTTCTCATCTGGCCCTGGGCTGCAGCCTGCCTTGTAATGGTATGGACTTTGTGGGGATAGGTCAATATATCATGCAAATGAAGTGACTATGGACTATGCAAATAAAATAGAAATACGGACTATAGCTGACTATGCAAATGCAACTTTGTGGCCTACCGAGAAGGGATTGGTCAGGTTGTGGCTTCTGGTGGGTAGAAGGAGCCATGCCTTGAAACTGACAAGGAGTTGTGTGTGTGTGTGTGTGTGTGTGTAGAGCCAGCCCCACAGAGATCTTTCAGACAGGAAGAAGCAGAAAGAAGAGAGAAGCAGCAGAGAGAGAGGAAGCAAAGAACCTCATATAAGAGCTGTAACATGGGTCAGGGGTTGTAACCCTGAAGGCAGTGACAGGACCGGAAGGGGCCCAGTGACAGAGCCGGTGGTGACAGGCCCGGAAGGGGCCCTGCGGCAGATTCAGTGGTGACAGATGGCAGGGCTAAGAGAAACCTTTCCTGAGGGGGCTGAAAGGAGGCCTGCACAGGCCGAGAGGAACTGGGGGATCTGTCTGCACTGGAGAAGGGAGACTGTGCCTACGTGCTTCCCGATCCCGATTCCAGGTTGCACTCTGTTACTTCTTTAATAAACCACTTAACTGTAAGCATGATCTATGAGTTTTGTGTGGCCACTGCAATAGATTATCAAACCCAGAAAAGAAGTGGAGAGTGCCCAGGGAGGGTGTTGTCAGAATTGGTAAAAGGTTGGAGACAGGAAGTATGTCTGGCCTGCACCTCATGGAAATCAGCTGTGGGCTGATCCCAGTCATTATCCCCCCTGAAGTGAGACAGGTTCTGATGCAACAACAACCACTACTACTACCATTTTACAAATGCTACTTTTTACAATGTGATAGCTTACTGTTACCTCCTCCTAGAGAGAGACAAAGAGCTCCAGTGGTGTAGCTGGTAAGGCATTTGGGCTGCCAACCAAAAGGCCAGTGGTTCAAACCCATCAGCTACTCTGTGGGAGGAAGATGAGGCAATCTATGTCTGTAAAGATTTACAGCCTTGGAAACCCAATGGGGGTTGCTTGAAGTCAGAATTGACTCAATGGCAGTGGGTTTGTTTTATTTTTTGGAGAGAGAACACCACTGGCTGCAGTGCTACCAACTAGAGCATGTGGGCACTTTGCTTCAGGACCCAGAGCTCTCAGGGATGGAACCTGGCAGGCATCGGCCATGGGAGAAGGGGTTTATGGATCCAACTGTGTCTCCCCACAGCATGGGCTGGAATCTTATAACCCCTATTAAAAACACAAACTAACCAACAACTCTGTTTGGGAGCGTATTGATTCCAACTCATGGCGACCCCATGATGTGTTACAAACTAGAACCTAGTTCCATGAGGCGTTTTGGGCTGTAATCTTTATAGAAGCAGATCCGCAGGGCTTTCTTCCATGGAGCCACTGAGCGGCTTTGAACCACTAATGTTCAGGTTAGCGGCCACTGCAGCCCACTTGCTATACCCAGATTCCTTATAACCTGTACACCTGTGAATATAATGTAATGCAATGTAATGATCGTACATCTAATGTAATATAATGTAATCAACTTCTATAATGCAATCTAATATAATGTAATCCATCACTCAGTTGAGATCATACCAGTGTAGGGTGGATCATAAACCTCTTAACTTCTGAGTTATGTAAAGGGCAGCACAGCCTACAGAGACAACACACACATGCACGTGCGTGCGCACGCACACACACACACACCCACGGAGAAGACAGATCCACGCGAGGATCTACAAGCCAAGGAACCCGGGGAAGCTCAGGGCTACTGACGAAGAAGAAACTGACATGGCCAAGACCCTGCTTTGGATGCAGAACTGTGAAAACATTAATTTCTGTTCTTTAAAGCCACCCCCATGTGGGGGCAGGATTAGGAAACTGAGAGAAAGCGGGAGGACCACCTTTGTACTGGGCCCTCAGGGTCACCCCTGATTGATAAGGTGAAGACACAAGGGGACAGCACACTCTGCTACTGCATCCTTCATGGGATCTGGGTCCTGGGTGAGGGACAGCTTCCCCATAGGAAGCAGCTGAGGGCAACGGAGAGACTGAGGCAGAGAGGGAGAAAGGCAGGGTCCAGGATATGGGGAGCTTATGAGCCCACACTTTGGAACTGAAAGACCTGGGTTCAAAGCCCAGCACCACACTTTGTTAGCTGGGTGGCCTTAGGTCAGTGACTTCTCTTGAGATCCACACTGCTCATCTGTAAAATGGGGATAAGAATGGTAATGATGTCCTTAGACTGGTGTGAGGATTCAAGGTAATAATGCTTGTTGGGGACTTCACCTAGTGCCTGCCGTAGAGCAGGTGCTCATGAAATCGCAACGGTGGTGAGGATGCTGAGTTACTCCAGTAACAGTAACATCAGCACTGAAATACAAGAGCAGCAGCAGCAGTGATAGTAATAACAGCAGCATTTACAATGTATTAGGAGTCCCTGGGGGAGCTCTGGTGGCCTAGTGCCTAAGGCACTTGACTGCAAACCAGAAGGCTGGTGGTTCAGCCACTCCTCAGAAGCAAGATGGGGCAATCTACTTCCATAGTGATACTGCCTCAGAAACCCAAGGAGGGGTCGCTATGAGTTGGGGCCGACTCGATGGCACATAACAACAACAACAACAGGAGTCCCTGGGTGGTTCAAGTGATTAATGCGCTCGGCTGCTACCTGAAAGGTTGCAGGTTCGAATCCAACCAAGGGTGTCTTAGAAGAAAGGGCTGGCAATCTACTTAAAAAAAAAAACAAAAAAACCCAACCATTGAAAACCCTAGGGAGTGCGGTTCTACCCTGAAACACATGGGGTTGTTATCAGTCAGCATCGACTCAATGGCTAGTTAACACGTATTAACTTATCTGATGCTCACAGGTACCTATGAGGTATGTCAATTATATCTCCACTTTGTTGTCGTTATCGTTAGCAGCTATCTAGATGACTCCAACTCATAGCGACCCCATGTACAGCAGAACCAAACACTGCCTGATCCTGCACCAACCTCACAATCTTTGCTATACTCAAGCCCATCACTGCAGCCACTGTGTCAATCCATCTTGTTGAGGGTCTTCCTATTTTTTGCTGACCTGCTACTTTACCAAGCACGAGATCCTTCTCCAGGGAATGATCCCTAACATGTCCATGTTACTGATAAGAAATTGGAGGCACAGGGAGTTAAGTCACTTGCCTAAAGATACACAGGAAAAGCTGTTGCTGGGATTTGCATCCAGACAGCCTGGTTTCCAGAATCCATGTTCTGAATCTATGCTCAACGCTGCCTTCCTACAAAAGCACGCTCAAATGTTTGCTGATTCTCCTGGAAAAGACAGGAGTGATTGTCCTCATTTTCTGGATACTGAAACTGAGGCTCAGAGAGGAAAAGTGACTCAACCAATCCTGCAGCACTAAGAGGTGGGTGATCTGACTGGTAGTAATGCAAATCTATATTACTACCAAGGAGGTGGGGAGCTCTGGTGGCCTAGTGCCTAAGGCACTTGACTGCTAACCAGAAGGCTGGTGGTTCAAACCCACCAGCTGCTCCTTGGAAGGAAGATGGGGCAATCTACTTCCGTAGTGATACTGCCTCAGAAACCCAAGGAGGGGTCGCTATGAGTTGGGGCCGACTTGACGGCATATAACACCACCACCACCAAGGAGGTGGAGGCTCAGAGAGGGCCAGTTAACTTGCCCACAGTCACACAGCTCCGGGGAAGCAAGAGAGCTAAGCTTCCCACTGGGTCCCTCTGACTCCAGGGCCAGGCAGGGGAGGGGCAGAGGGATCAGGGGCACCACTCACTTGGACAGGGAGACACCGCCCGGCTTGCCAATGAGGTCCTCGTGGTGCAGGACGGCATCGCTCCAGGCAATGCCCAGGAAGCTGAGAATGACCTTGAGGGAGCGCCGGGGGTGCAGCACCAGCTGCTCGTAGTACACAGGCAAGCACTTGTCCCTGCCCACCTCCAGGCACTGGGCATACATCACCTCAATGGCCTTGTTCCACTTGGTGAGGCAGTCACGATAGCTGCTGAGATCAAAGCCGGCTATGGTGACCTTGCGCGTGATCATGGAGTGTACGGAGGCCCGGCCGTCCCGCACCATCAGCAGGAACTTGGAGTTGGGGAACAGGCGTGACAGGTAGACAGAGGATTTGAGGGTAAAGGGGTCCTTGTTGCACAGCACACGGGCCGGCTCGCCGTGCTTGGCGATCACCTCCAGGATGAAGGCCTGCATGGCAGCGTCCAGCACCTCGTCCGTCACGCCCGCCTCATCCAGCCGCAGCTTCTCGCGGCCCGACTTCGACCAGGCCTGGCGCATGGCCAGCACGCGGGGGATGATGCGGGTCTCCTCGCCGCAGCGAACCTCGGGGTGGGCGTCCAGCATGGCACGCATCAGCGTGGTGCCGCTGCGGGGCACGCCGCCCACAAAGATGAGTGGCATGGCCTTGCCGTAGCGGTACTCCACGTGGTTCGTGCCCACCATCACCAGATCCTCCTGCTCTGGCCGCATGGTCCGCCGGGGGCCCCGGGGGCCTGCCAGCACCGCCCGGCACTCCAGCACCTGCTGGCCCAGCTGGACCGCCAGCACCAGGGCCAAGGCGCAGCCAGCTGCCAGCAGCAGCCTCCGCACCGACAGGCGCATGCTGGGCCGGGGATGGGGCAGGCCCAGCCTGGGGGCCCGCTTCAGCGACAGGTCAGCGGGCAACCGGCTGGGCTCACATCTGGGGAGAGAGAACACACAGAGTCAGAGAGGCCTGTGGGCTGTAGGCCTCAAAATACAAACCCTGGTGAGGACAAGCATGACAGTGAAAATGTTAGCAGCAGGCACACTTCATGGGCGCTCACTAGGGCACTATCCCTCCCTTAACTCGGGACACTCTCCAGCAACTAACCCTAGGCAAAGGTACGGTTCTCGCCCCATAGGACTCTTGAGGCCAGACGTGCTAGGTTCAAATCCCATCTGGCCACTTTCTATGGGGAGGGCACCACGGCCAGTTCCTTACCATCTCAGAGCCCCAGTTTCCACATCTGATAAATGGAAAGATTGACTGCTGTGGTGGCTGTGTACCATCGAGTCGATTCCAACTCACAGTGACCCCGTGTGTCAGAGCAGAACTGCCCCATAAGGTTTCTTAGGCTGCAATCTCTCCAGGGGCAGACGGCCAGGTCTCTCCCATGGAGCTGCTGGGTGGGTTCAAACTGCCAACCTTGCAGTTAGCAGCCGAGCGTTTAACCACTGGACCATCAGGGCTCCTCTGGAGAGAGTGATAGCTATTACCAAGTTTTACCATCAAAATGAGAAAATATTAATCCACTAGAATGAGATCCCAACAGCATGTCTGCCCCACACAGGGCAGGACCTTGTCACGCTCACTGCTGACTCCCCAGCTCCCAGCACAGACGCGTGCATTGCACGGGCTCGGTGAATATTCATGGAATCACCTAGACTGAATGAGCAGGGCCTGGCACAGGAAGGACTGAGCAACTGTCACTAAAAAGACAGAGGAGAAAGTGAAACACAGAGAGGCTGGAGAACTTGTTCAACTACCTGGCTAGGAAGCAGCCAGGCCAGTGCCCACGACTGGAAGCCAGGCTGCCCAGGTCCAGGGTCTATTCTTTGTCCTTGTTGTTGTTGTTGTTGTTATGTGCCATCGAGTCAGACCCGACTCATAGCGACCCCTCCTTGGGTTTCCGAGGCAGTATCACTACAGAAGTAGATTGCCCCATTTTCCTTCCAAAGCCTTCCGGTTAGCAGTCAGATGCCTTAGGCGCTACACTACCAGAGCTCCCATTCTTAGTCCTTAGTCACTGACATTCTGCAGAAGAAGGTTCAGAGTATCCTGGTCTGGACTTCTTCCAGAATCACTGCCCATTCTGTTTTTTGTTAATTCTCGTAAAATATAATATTTTAACCATTTTAAGTGTCCCGTAAAGTGGCATTAGTTGAATCTGTATTTTGCAATCAGAGTACTACCTCTTTCCAACACTTTGTTATCACCCCCAACAGAAACTGGACCCATCAAGCAAGGCACTCACACATTCTTCATTCAGTAAATGCTTAGTAAGTACCAGAAAGTGCGAGGCACTGTCCTTGGTGCTGGAGACAGGACAGTGGGAAAGGCCTCTGACCTCAAGGAGCCAATCAGTCCTAGAGGGGAAGCAGGTAACACACAAGCTGTAGACAGACCGTGTGCAGTGCCTTCAAAACAGATGGATGAAGCAGGAGAAGGAGGCGAGCAGTCAGAGAGGGCTTCTCGGAGGAGGTGACATCTGAGCTGAGACCCAGATGACCAGGAAGGGCCAGAGTGTGAGACAGATGCTCCCGCCAGAGGGAGCAGAATGTGCAAAAGCCCTGAGGTGAGAGAGAGCTCGGGCTGTTCAAGAACCTGACAGGATGCTGCTGGGGCTGGCAGTGGTGAGGACAGACAGGGGTGGCAGCCAGGCAGGGCCCTGGGGACAGATGAAGGGGCGGGGCTTACCTCTACAGGCTACCTCTGGAGGACTCTGGCTGGCTCTCGTGTGAGGAGGCCCAGAGAGAAGTCAGGGGGCTCCCACAGTCCCGGAGGGGCTCAAGAACTGTGGGGCCAATGGTGAGGACTGGAGGACTCAGGGCGTGAACTCTGACCCCAAGCCTGCACTCTTCACTCTCCCCAGCACTGCTAATAGAGGATGAGACTTCAATGGCAGTTCCTCAGGGCCCCAGCCAGCCTAGCTCCTCTAGTGACAGATCTGCCTTCTTCCCTAGCTCACCCCAACACCCCTCAATTTTGCAACTATGAGCTCAAGGCAGAAGGTGCAGACTCAGATGCCAAACGGACACTCCGCCAATCTCAGACCACCCCTAACCCCTCTCTGCCTCACTCCTGCTGTGTCTCTAAGCCTTAGCTTCTTCCGCCTGCCCCTCCCACCTCTCTCCAGAATGCAAATGAGGGCCTGAGGTCTCTCACAGAGACAGGCAAAGCTGGGTTCGAGTCCCAGCTCTGATCATTTTTGGATTGTGTTAGCTTGGGCAAGGGACTTGCTTATTTAAATAATTAATTAATTAATTAATTAATCGTTGTGATTTGGGTGAAAGTTTACAGAGCAAACTCATTTTCCATACAGCAGTTCAGACACATTTTGTCCTCAGGACATTGCCTGCAGTTCCCCACAATGTAACAGCTCTCTTCCTGCTTCCTCCTTTAGTTACCTCTTCCCTGTGTCCTTCCCTCCCATGTTGGACTTACTTTCCCTGAGCCCTGTCTGTAAAATGGGCCGATGAGTGTTGACTTCAATGGGTTCCTGTGAACATTAAACAACTGGGTGGTGCGAACAGTTGACAGGCCTGGGTGCTAACCAAAAGGCTGGAGATTAAGCCCACCCACAGGCACCTTGGAAGAAAAGTCCTGGAGACCAACTTCTGAAAAATCAGCCTCTGACAGCCCCGCGGAACACAGCTCTGCTCTGACACACAAGGGGTCCCCTTGAGTCAGAGGGAGCAGCACCACCACTCACCGGCAACCGTTCTTCTGTTTGTTTGGAACACACCCAGCACACTGAGCATTCTGAAAAGATCTGGCAGTTTCTACCATTATCATTGGTTATTTATTTACTCTGATGTTTAATAAGCACCTACTGCTGGGAGTTGGGTTCTGGAGTTAAGCCCCCAAGTCATTTCACCCTGTGAACCCACACTAAGGAGGGAGTAAGGACTTTGCCTGAGTAGGTGAGGGAAGACTTCCTAGAGGAGGTGGCCCATGCTCAGTTTTGAACAGTGGATAGGAAACAACCAGGCAGAGGGGAGAGAAAGGTGTTCCTGGCAAGGGGATCAGCCCGTGCAAACGGACAGAGGCACAAAAGGACCCAGAGTGACAGCACCAAAGGACGTGGTTCCTAGCTGGGCCGACTCACGCAATGGCTCGGACTCCCTGACCTCATGGAAACTAAACAGCAAAACCTTGAGGGTGGCCTGTCGCACTTCCTGGCCTTGCGTCTTTGGAAGAGTCACTTCCCCCTCTTTGCCATAGTTTCCTCAGCAGAAAACATTGGGGTGGGGCTGCTGACCTCAAAGAGCTGCTTGGAAGGTTCTGGGAGGCAAAGATAAGGCAGCCGTGGGTCTCATCACGGGGTCACTGATCGCTCTGAGCATCGGCTAACGGCCAAGGACTCTGCCTGGAACAACAAGCTGTTCAAAAAGAGTCGATTCTGTGTCAGAGGGGACTGTGCCCCAGAGGGTTTTCAAGGCTGTGACCTTTGGGAAGCAGGTCACCAGGCCTTTGGTGAGCAGCCAATTGCTTATGTTTGTCCCACTCAAGGCCCTGGGTTCACAGATGCCCCCAGTCAGGGTCTGGGATGGGGAAATCTTATTCCAGGGCCACTTTGGGATAGGACATAAAGGCACCTGGAAACTCCGCTGAGGACTCCTGGATGCATCAAGCGTTCACTGTGACTCTCCCCTGGGACCAGAGTCTAGAATTCTGCTTATTATCAATCATCTCAGTTATCAGTGCTCTGCAGGACTGTCAATCACACCTTAGTTAGAATTAGCGGATTCAGTCTGTCCTGACACTTAGGGATGAGTAAGGGAATGGAGCTTTTGGGAAACAATGGCATGGGGGTGCAGAGAAGGGGAGGCAGGGGAGTAATCTGGGAACTAAAAGGGGAAGGGAGGTGTGTGTGCCATTGTGTGCGTGTGTGTGTTTGGTGTAGGCGGGAGGTATGGAGGATGTGTGTGTAGATATATGTGTGTGGGGTCTGTATGTCTGTGCATATGTAGGTGTGGTGGGCGTGTGGGAGGGGTTGAGAACAGGGAGACCTGTGGATGTGGACAAGACTGTGTATGTGTGGATATATGCTTGTGAGTGTCAGGGTGGGTGTCTGGGGTCTGTGTTTGTATATGTACTGTGTGAGGTGTGCATGTGTTGGGGGTGAGTGTGGGAAGTCTATGGGTGTGAGTCCACGTGTATGTGTGTGTTTGTGTACTGTCAAAATTAACAGAAGACTACATTAAATTTTAAGAAAAGGACTTCAGTTGATTTTTACGACGACTTGCGAACTGGGGAAGCACTCTCCTCCAATGTGGAGAATGTCCCGGAAGAGAGGGCGTTGCATGGGTTTTAGCATCAAAGCCAACACAGATGTAGGTTATAAATAACCAGGTACAGAACAAGAAGTTACATGTCTCTTTGGGAGTGCGATGCCTGTCTGATCAAGTGAGCTCAGTACAGAACACAAAGGTCCACGTCTTGCCGGGGAGAGCATTTCAGGCCTGACCAAGGTGAACCCTTTGACTCCCTTAAATGATTATCTTTGTGAGAAAAACTGCTTCCTCTATTTGAGATTATTTTACTAATCTACTATCTAAGACAGGGGTCTGTGTGATCTGGTGATGAATGATTTTTGCAGTTTGAGCGCTAAGGTTAAGACAAATCAGGGTAATGATTCGCAGATGACTGCCCTCAGAGGCTCCAGCAAGGCTGAAATCTGTGAGAAATTTAATTTTGCTCTTACAGTGTGTATGTGTAGGAGATGTGTGTGTGTCTATGGATGGGGAAGGTATATGTCTGTGTACGTCTCTCTGTGTGTATGTCTGTGTGCGGGAGGTGTGTTTCTGTGTGTAGATATGTATGTGGGAGGTGCATGTCTATGTGCACATATGTATGTGTATAGAAAGTATATGTGTGTGGGCTGTGTGCATGTCTGTACGTCTGTGTGTATGTCTGGTATGTGTCTATGTTACTGTTTGTGTCTGTGTATACATGTGTGGGATGTGTGTGTGTGTACAAGTATGTGTGTTGGATGTGTGTGTGCCTGTACATGTGGGGAAGGTGTGTATGTGTATATGTACTACTGTGTGATGTATATGTCTGTGTGTACATGTCTGTGCATGTACATGTGTGGAGGTGTGTGTGTATACATGTGTGTGGGAGGTAAATGTATCTGTGGTATGTATGTAGGTGAAGTGTTGCCAATGTGTACGTATGTATGTGGGAGGTGTTTGCATGTGTGTGGGAGGTATGTGCATATATATATGTGTGTGGAATGTGTGTGTATACATGTGTAGAAGAAGTGTGTGTGTGTACCTATGTGGGATGTATGTGTGTACCTGTGTGGGATATGTGTGCACATGTGTGGGATGTGTCTGTACATGCATGAATGTGTGTATACATGTATGAGGGGTGTGTGTGTACATGTGTAGGAGATGTGTGCATACATGTGTGGGGTGTGTGTCTCTGTGTATGTACGTGAGATGGGTGTGTGCACATGTATGGGGTATATATGTGTGTATGTGTGTGTAGGTATGTGTATGGGAGGTATGTGTGTGCATGTGTGGAATGCATGTGTATATGTATATGTGTGTGGAAGATGCGTGCGTGCACACACGAGCTTGTGTTTGAGGTTGGAAGTGATTGGACAGTGAGTACCTGGGGGACAGGCTTAGAAGATGGGACAGACAGTACAGGAAAATATGATCAGATGGCAGTTTTGCTTCATACAGACCGTTCCCTGGACAGGAGCACTCAAATATGTAAAAAAAGCATCCGGGTTTTGCACTTTGACATTTATTAAGCACTTATTCTGCTAAGACCTTTTCCATCAATAATCTGACAGGATCCCTGCTGCCCTGCGAGGGTAGAGAAGCTCTACCTCAGCAGCTCAGAGAGATGCAGCAACCTACCCAAGGTCACACAGTCTGACAGGCAGGCCTGGACCAGCCCAGGCTGAGGCCGAGCTGCTCACCAACAGCAAACAGCTCAAACTGGGCAGGTCAGAGATGGACAGAGACAGCAAGGACACAGAGGACGGCTTGAGAGGAACAAGCAGGGTGGCGTGGCAGAGAGAAAGCAAGTGAGAAGCTGGAAACAGAAGGATGCTTCCTGGTCAACCAGGCCAGGGACCCGCCCCCTCCCAGAAGGGGCTTGGAGTCCTCCATCTCTAGGTTCAAATCCCGCCTCTGCCAGCTGGTGACCCGGACAATGGATTTCACCTCTCGGAGCTTCTATCTTCTCCCCTTAAAAACAGGATCCTAAGAGCCTCCCCTCAAGGAGATTCTATGAGGTTCAAGGGAGCTTCTGCGTGACGCCCTAAGCAAGCACTCTACAACCACTTCATGTTAGCGAGATGGGGCGCCAGAGGGCCCTCATCTGGCTGGGCCCTGCATCTGCTCTGTGATGTGGGCAAGTGGCCTTGCCTTCTCTGGGCCTCAGCCTTGCCTACCCTATCAAACAGGGGATCCATCTTCCTAAGAGCCCAGGAGGAGCAGAGACCCGCCCTCCCCATGTTGCTGGGACCCAGCTCTTTCTAGTTCTCAGTTTCCAGCCTGTTGGCTGAATGGAGAGGAGAGAGCCGGCCAGGGAGGTTGCTCAGCTGCCCAAGAATGGTGGCTGGGGGCACAGATCGCTGAGCCGGGGCCACCTCAGAAGCCAGGATTCTGCTTGGAGATGATGCACTCACCTCCCCTGGACACTCTCATCCCTGGGCTCCAGCCCTCCAGCCTGCTCGCCAAGGCTGTCCGCCGGCAGAGCCCTGCAGAGGCAAAAGAGATGCTGTGTCAGAGGTGGGCTCCATGCCCTGCAGAGGCGCAGAGTCCCTGGGTGGTGCAAACAGTTGACACATTCAGCCACTAACCAAGACTGGAGGGTCGCGTCGTTCTGGTTCCCTAATGCCACTCTGACAGGAATACACCACAAATGGGACGGCCTTAACCAACAGGAGTTTATTCTCTTACAGTTTCGGAGGCTAGAAGTGTGAGTTCAATGTCCAAGGCTCTAGGGACTGTGTGAGAGCCCCTCGACCTTGGGCTTCAGCTCTACCTCTCGCTCCTGGCCCCCTGAAGCTAATGGCATCTTTTCACTTGGCAGCTACTGGCTGCTGAGACTAACAAGCCCAAGGTCGACAAATAAAATGGCACAGTCCCGACGTTACCAAACCACATGGCAGGCCATTAATTCAAGTCCATCGAAAGTCCCATGGTCAACAGAGCATGGCAGGCTGCTGAACAACAACACAGCTGCATGCAGGGTCCAAGCATGCCATAGGCTGGAGACCATTCCCAAAGCTGCTACTTATATACAGGAAGCAGACCACATACCCAAAGGCAACTACTCAGCTGCTCCCAGTAGATTCCACCATGGAGTTGATTACCAGTCTCATCATGGGGAATACTACATCCAGCTGCCCTGCCACTCAACTAGGCCTAGCCAAGTTGACACACAAACTTAACCACCACATGGGTCTACCCAAAAGTGCCTTGGGAGAAAGACCTGGCAATCTACTTCCACCAAATCAACCCTTGAAAACCCTGTGCAGTTCTGCTCTGACAAAGCATGAGGCTGAGTCAATGTGACAGCTGCTGGTAAAACCCAGGTTTCAATAGCACATCCAGACTAAGATGGACCAGGAAGAAAGGGCTGGTGATCTACTTCCAGAAATCAGCCAGTGAGAACCCTCTGGACCATCACGGCCTGACCACAACCCAACATGAGCACGGCGCAGGGCCAAACAACGTTCCTCTCCACTAAGCATCGGGTCACCATGAGTGGAGGCCAGCCAGACAGCCGCTGACCGGAAGAACCACCACCCCAGATGGAGAGGGCTTCCAGGTATAACCACCGAACCAGCCCCCTCCTCCCTCAGCTACAGAACACTTAGGCCTGGTACTCCTCAGGGAGGGAGAGGGAGTGGTGGGGGGAGGGAGATGCTTTCAGAACAAATAAAACCAGTAAGGGACAGGGCACTTGAAGCTGTACCCAGCCGGCCCTTGAAATGCCTGTGTGCCTGAGAGGCCTGCCAACTGGGCAGCTCCCACACCCACGGACCTGGCCTCCCCTCCTCCAGAGAACACAGGCCCTTTCAGGGGGAAAATATGGGGCTGCCAGGACCTTTGGTGACTCAGCCGCCTGTGCAACATGGAGATGCTACCACACAGTGTGGTTTAAATTTAAATGAAGCAAACTGAAGTAAAATGTTAAGCCCCAGTTGCTCAACTGCACTAGCCACATATTAGGATGCCAGCAGCCCAGGGCTACCATATTGGACGGTGCAGATCTTTAACTGTCCTCAAGCCAAATCCCACCCATGGCCTGGTTTTGCATGGCCCACAAGTTAAGAATGGTGTTTCTATTTCTTTAAGGTTTGTTAAAAAAGAGGACTATGTAACAAAGACCATAAACTCTATGTGCCCTGCAAAACCTTAAGTATTTCCCATCTTACCCTTTACAGAAAATTTCTGCTGGCCTCTGCTCAAGGCAGAAAGTTCTGCAGGACAGCGCTGACTGAGGGGATAAGCAAGAGGCATGGGGTAGGGGGTGCGGGGCTGCAGAATCCTCCTGTGCTCGTAGGAGAAATATCAGTAATTGTTGTTAGCTGGCATCAGGTCAGCCCCTGACTCAAGGGGACCCCCGTGCACAACAGAACAATGCTGCTCCATCCCGTGGCATCCTCACAACTGGTTGTGGATTGGACCCCTGTGATCTCTAGGGTTTTCACTGGCTGATTTTCAGAAGAGCACCAGCCCTTTCTTCCTAGTCTGTCTGAGTCTGAAAGCTTCCCTAAAACCTGTGCAGCACTGACCCACAGGCAACTGGAAGGAAGACGGCTGTTCAGCCTAAGAGATGTCCTTTTATCCAGATTCACTCCAACCACAAGTGTTTACTGAGCACCTACTACGTGTCAGCCACTGTTCAAGATGCGGTGGATAGTGCGGTCACAAGAGATGGTCCTGGATAGAACAGGAGAAAACTGTAGAACAAAACTCAAATTCTTAAAGAAAAAAAAAAGGCCAGACTTACTGGACCGCAGAGACTAGAAGAACCCCCTAAGCCTATCGCCCTGAGACATCCTTTAAACCTCTGACGTGAAACAACCCTCAGGTTACCTCTCAGCTAAATAACAGACTGGCTCATAAAATAAATAGTATCACCCATGAGTACTGGGGTCCTTTTAATTTTAGGGAAAAATAAAAGATCATATGAATAAGACCAAACATTCGACATTTATCCTAAAGCAACGATGAGAAGGTCAGGAGGAGCAAGGAAGCAAGAAAAATGGAAACAGGACAACCAGAATGAAAGTAACAAGAATGTTGGCACAATGTGGGAAATACAACCAATGTCGCCAGACAACATGGATAGAAATTGTTAAAGGAGAGCCTAACTTGGTGGGTAAACTTTCACCAAGAACTCAATAAAATATTTAAAAAGAAAATGAAGACTAGAAGGAAAAAAAAAGTTGGTGGGGCTATAGCAATGGCCAGATATAAAGCCTGCACCTCACAGCTGACATTCGAGTGGGGAAACGGGGAGACTTGTACATCGGCTCATCACCCCTTGGGATAAATGCTTGGAAGGAAATGCCTGCCCGTGGAAGGAGGGGAGGCATCCTATGAGGCCTCAAGGAAGGAGAAGACGTTCACGCTGATACCCACATGGCTTTTTCGTGCAAACTCATTGAATTTTTCATATCAGCATCACTCCTCCAAGAAGGATCAGCACATGAAGACGTCCTCAAGAATAAGTGGCTGGAGGGGGAGAGGGCTAGCAGCAACAAGAGGGTCACGGCCCTTATGGTGACACTAAGGCCTCCAAGGGGTGCCCGGTGCCCACGTGCCCAAGCTCAGCCATCTCAGCCCAGCAAGGCCTCGCCATGGGAACCAGGTCTCACGCATTCCATCACTACGGCTACCACCCAGCCTACTGGGCTGCCCTATGTATTCCTGCCTTTCTGTGCAGTTGGGGGAGACTGTAACTCTCTCTGGGAACTACAGCCCTCTGACCTGGTCCGGAGGGAAGCCAGCCAAGAAAAGCCTGCCAGATGGCAACGGGGCGAGGGGAAGGAGGAACAGGACTTCCGTGGCTCTGGATGCTGGCTGCGCAGAAAAGCACTTGGTGTGCTTGACGAGGGAGGAGGCAGGGAGGCTGTACACGGCCTCAAAGATTAGCTCCCACTTACTGAGCATTTCCTGTGTGCCAAGGATCGAGCGAAAGGCTTTACACACATCTTCACGTTTTTTTCATTGTGATTTTGGTCAAAGTTTACAGAGCAAATTCACTTTCTATACAGCAGCTCACATACACTTTCTCTCATGACATTGACTGCAATTTCCCACAATGCAACAGCTCCTCTCCCACTTCCTCCCCATGTTACCTCTTCCCTATGTCCTTCCCTCCCATGCACTCCTGCCCCATGAGCTGTCTCCCTGTGCATACACAGCCCTTTTGTTCTCCCATGATTGCTCTCTCCCAGGAGTGTATCTACCTCAGGTAAATGTTCAACTCATATGCCTGTCTTTTCTTTGGCTGGAAGACAAAGGAATGGGTTCAATTCCAGGCCTGAAGGGCAGCTAGGGGCCACAGTCTCAGGGGTTCCACCAGGCTCTATCAGACCAGCAAACCTGGTCCCTTTTTTTCTTTTTTGATGATTTTGAGTTTTGTTCCACATTGTTCTCCCACTCTATCCAGGATCTCCTACAGAGATCCCCCTCTGAGTGGTTGACAATGGTAGCCAGGTACCATCTAGTTCTTCTGGTCTCACAGTCGTACAGGCTGAGGATCACATGGTGTACCAATTGCTTGGACTAACTGTTTCCATGAATCTTTGGTTTTCTTCATTCTTCTTTGCTCTGGATGAGGAGAGACCCATCGTTGCATCTAACATCTTTAATATTAAGATTACTGTCATTACTGCAGATGGACAAAGATGAGAAGGAACCACCCAAAAAACCCACTGCCACTGAGTCAACTCCAACCCATAGCAACCCTGTAGGACAGAGTGGAACCTCCCCACCAGGTTTCCAAGGCTGTATGTATTCTTTACAGAAGCAGACCACCTCATCTTTCTCCTGAGGAGCACTGGGTGGGTTTGAACCGTCACCCTTTTGGTTAGCAGCCAAATGCTCTAACCACTGCCCCACCAGAGCCCCTTCTAGAAGGAACATGTACACACTGAAGATCATAAGATGAGAGTCGGGGTGATTTCAATTCCCTGCATCTGTTCCCCAAGCTTTATTATTATTATTATTATTGTAATAAATACGTATGTCACAAAATGTGACATTTCAAGATCTTCACATGGACAGTTCAACAGCATTAATTATATTCATCCTGTCCAGCCATCACCCTTATTCATTCCCAAATCCTATCATAACCTCACCAGCAGCTCAGGGGCTCCCAGGCAGTGACTCTTCCCTTCTGCCTCCCACCCCAACCACTAAGAAACTTTCCTCTCTATATAGCTGCCGAGTCTAGATATTTCATACAAGTGGACCACACAGTATTTGTCCTTTTGTGTCTGTTTTATTTCAGTGCATGTACTGCTTTCAGGGCTCATCCACGTTACAGCATGTTGTAGCATATGTCAGAACCCCGTTTCTCTTTACGGCTGGGTGACACTCCATTGCATGGCTAGGCCACATTTTGTTTATCCATTCCTCTGGTGATGGGTGTTTAGACTGCTTCCACTTCTTGGCTACTATTATCCATGACTCTCTTTTATAAACCTCACTGGTATTGCCACCGCACAAAGCCACG